AGTGAGGTTTAGTCTTAGTCTAAGATAATATCATATCTGTCTAATTAAAGTGCTAGAAAGAGTGAGGAGAAAGTGGCATGTTAGACCAATGATGAAGGAAGAAACAGCTTTTAGGGGGCCTCTATTCCTTTATTCATGAAGCCCACTTTTACTTTTAGACCCCCCACCCACTATTTAATTTATTCATGATTCTGGCCCACAGAAACTGGTTAATGGTACCAAATCACTTTTTAAGCAGTTTGTCGTATAATTTTTTTTTATTTGCTTAACAGTGGCAGGAGATGTTGTCGTGGGGACGCAAACAAATAAGAACACGAAGACGACAATAGAAGAAACAGACACGGACACAACAATGTTTTCGACGATGAAGAACGATCACGAGTACAAAGACAACAAAACCTACAAAGTCAACAACATTAATCTAATCACTAGACCTGATCATTATGACGTCATTTCCAAGAGAGCAACAATAGATACATGTTGCACGTCGCCACTTGTGGTGCGGAAGGTAAGATCACAAAGCTTGATAGACTGTGTGAACCAGGTTTCTGATGACTTAGCATCTGGTCAACGAAGAGAGGTCGCTAAGATTGGTTTAGCCCTTCATGACCACATCTGTCGGGACTTGATCACTGAGATCGTTGGCGAGCTCTTATTCTCCCAGTACGAGAAAAACAAGTGTCTTAAGCCAGAGGTGGATTCTGCTGATTGTTACGGCAAAGGAAGTGGACGTCGACACATACGACGTGGTAGTACCAACTCACTCCCGCTCGAAGCCTGTCGAAGAAGATTAGTGTTTTAATGTGGTTGATCACTTTAGGTTCTTTGCATATCATAGTCGCGACCGTTTTCACATATGACATGTGTTGTAGCTCCTATTTTATAATCTTGTTGTATTAATAATCTAAGACAAACATTTCAACAGGTTGCAAATTGTTGGGTTTAGTGATACTTTTTTCAGAGATTTCACTGTTTGCTAGCATACTATAGCTCATGCAAATAATTTCACTGGTTTCCTTAGAAAAAAACAGAATGAAAAAACTAACAAAACCTGAATACGTAAATCAATTTTCTTTGTAAACCTGGTTCTAAACGTAAACCATTGATTTGTACCATCTCTATAATATTATTTGAGAAGTCACTTTCTTAGGTGTCGCGCTCACGTTAACTCTCACGCTGGTTGATTACTATGATACCCCTAATGAATTAAAAATATATTTAAATATTATTTTTTCCTTTTTAAAATCTTCCAAATAACAATATAAAATAAAAAGGAAATATTTATAAAATTTACAAAACTATTTAAAACGAAAAATAAGTATATATATAATATGGTTTCATAAAAAAGGAAAGTTTACAAAATAGTAATATTTAACTTAAATATATTTTAAATAACATAAATTATACTTTTAAGTAATAAAATACTTTATATCTATATCTTCTTAGATGAAAAAAATATTTTTATATAATGTGTTTTCATTAAAAAAGTTCATACAAATAATCTTGATATTAGAAAATAAATATTTTTCTCTAAAAGTAATTTAAACAATAAAATACATATTTTCAAATTAATTATTTTTTGATATATCTATCTATTTTATTAGATTATTACATAAAATAATTAAGTAACATAAACTGATATATGTTTAATTGACAAAAAAATTATAATTAGTATTCTTGAAATATTTTTTAGTATATTTATTTGATTATAATATCTTACAATTACAGCAAAAAATATAAATTATATTTTACTTATATAATATAATTTCTCAAAAAAATCACATTTTTACTGCATATTTTAATAGATGTTAAAAACAAAACTAAAAATAAATTTAATAATAAACATCTTTTGATCAAATAACTAAAATTCTTTTAATATATCATAACACTATAATTTAACAAGGTAGATATATTATAATAAATAGTTAAAATTATCTGTTTTCTTAATAACTCTTTTGATGTTTAATTTTCTGTTTTTATGTTTGTGGAATTTAATATAACCATAATCTAATACTTAAAGCAAATCAGAATTCCTTATTTTTAAAATTATTTTTAAAAAAATATCAGTTTATCATCCAATCAATCTATGGCATAAATTTTTAGAGTTTATAAAATATTTTAATTATTGTAAATATTGATATGTGTTCATAAGCTTTCAAAAATTTATTATTACTTATGTAATTTAGAATTAGACACTTTAGTTTTTATTTTTTTCGTTCTAAGGACAAAAAATCTTAAAATACATAATCTTACTAAGATATACTTATATTTCGTAGATAACAACCAACATAAATGTATATAAAATAATTAATCAAAAATTTAAGATATTTAGAATAAAAAAGATTATAGTTGAATTCATAGAATAGAAAGAATCCAATATATATATATATATATATATCCAAATGATAATACTGACTAAATATAATATATATAAAATTATAATAACTAAAATATATAATATTATTAATACAAATTATACATACAAACTATAAATTAA